CCCCTCCCGCCCCCTCCCCGACCCCCACCCGCGATGCCCGTGGGAGCCGTGTATCCTTCCGGAGTCGTGGAGGGTCGTAATCACGCGCGTTCGTACGTTCGCGAAAATATTCGCGGGGTAAATCACTGCCACCACTTCTCACCACTCGCGGCGCGCGTACGTATGCATTCGCGAGATAGAGCCTGGCCTCCACCGGCCACCACAGGCGCTTACGTGAACGCCGCGGGACCAATGTGCCCCGTACACGTTCGTCACCGCGTGAAAACACCTGGCAAGGTCGTACGATGCTCCGTTCGTCGATGATAAACAACCACCGGGACAGGGCAGACGAAGAGGATGAAAAGAACGGCCAAACAGGCTTCGCGTGACAGTCGATCGGTAACGAAGCGATATACCCTCTTGCCCCGATCCTTCGCGGCTGAGACCGAATCTCACGTTTTCATTCCTTTGGAATTTTCAACTCGTCTCGACGAACGATAAGGATCTTTCGATTTTGCTCTTTTTTCCTTTTCTTTTTTTTTTTTAAACAGACGATAAACACTCGCGCGAATTTAATAAACGATCTCACGGGGACCCGGTGTTGCTTGTAATTTTTACACGATACCACGAGACGTACGATCCAGAGTGTCGTGATTGCGATGCGTGTCGGTGTTATTACGAGGTCGGGGGTAGTCCGGCAACTCTGGGGTTATCTCTGGTAGGTCGGATGGTGCCGGTGCGGCGTCCGAGAAACTACTGAACGAGTGGCGCGGTTCTCTTCTCCGGCTCGGGTTCGGGCACGCTCCTCGGTTCGCTCTCGTAGAGAGACCGAACAGCAGACCGACACACCAGCACACGGGCCGGCAGCAGCCGAGAGTGAAACCAATACCAGCGCGCGGGGATCGACTCGACTTGCTACTCACACGGGCCCGCAGCATCCATCCCATCCCGTCCTCGTGATTGTAGTAGTAGTAGCCGTCGTCCCGTTTCGTCCCGTTTCGTCTCGTCTCGTCCCGTTCCGCTTCATACCGTGTCGTCCCGGTTCCGTCCCATCCCAGAGCGACGCAGCACGCGACAGATCTGGATGCTCGCTCGCTCTCGTCCACTACCGCGCCAACACGACCACCACGCGCCTCTTCTTCTCCCTCTCTTCTTTCGCGCTGCTCCCCACCTCCTTTCTACCTTCTCTTATCTCTCTCTTTCTCCTTATCCCACTCCTTTCTCACTCTCTTCCTCTCTGTCCCTCTCGTTCTCTCTGTCTCGTCGTTTCCTCTATCACGATCTTTCCCTGTCCTCTGCCTCTTCAACACCACCCTTTTTCCCTCTTTTCTTTCCCTCCACCTATGCTCCACCACGTAGACTTCCTTACCTTTCTTTTCTTTCCACGGATCGCTCCGTTTCTCCCTGTTTTCTCGTTGCACCTCGTCCGTCTCGCCAGTCTTCTCTTCCTTTCGCTCTTTTCCCTTCGGTTGTATCAAACTCGCTTCGCGGTGGCACGTCAACGTGCCCGCCCTCCACGCCCTGGCCACTACGTACCTGTCCACTTGTGTTCACTCGCGATCGGACCTCTTTTTGCCCCCCTTATTAACACTGATCCGGTGTTTCACTCCTCTTCCAACGTCCTTTTTAACCCTCCCCCTGCTCCCCTGTTTTTCGTTTATTTCCTAGAGGCTCGCCTATTATTCCTCCCCCTCCGACCGCTAGGAGGACCGATGCCGGAAGATGAAAGGAGTCAGCGTGCCTAGAGAAAGAGGAAGTGGTCTCGATTAACAAGGCCACGAAGGACGCGCGCGAAAACACCTGCGAACCCGTGAAGATAAATCGCTCGGAAATCGCCCCTTGCACCACGCCCCCGTGTCACGATTCCTTTACTTCGTCCGTCTCGTCGCTCTTCTTCTCCTTCGTTTCTCCCGCCTCTACGTCTGCACACCAGATACCTTTCCTCCCGTGCGTCGTCGTCGTCGTTGTTCCGTTCCGGATTATTTAATTCGTAGCGTATATATCTTATTAATTTCCGCTTCTTGCACCTTGCTGTCCACCTTTTCTTTTGCTAACGGGACGGTCTCGTGGGATCCCCTCACGGCAACCTGCAACGCAAATCCAAGAGGACACGATCAGCCGCGACGACGCGCATGAGTTCTCGTTTTCTTCGGCTCCTTCGTTTCCTTTTCATTCTTCCTTAGACACGAGCGAAAGCTCTATTGAGGTCAGCCGAGCGTACCTGTAAACAGTAACAAGGTCGTCCTTTAAACCTCCGTGGTGGAATATTTCCGATTCTGGTTCTTTCCGCGTTATCAGTCCGCATGGGAAAGATAGAAGAATCTTGTAAAAGTATTTTGTTTTTGTCTTCATGAAAACAATGAATAATTTGCGTATTCGAATTTGTATGCTTGGTGGATTGATTGAAAGTACTAATTAACGAGGCTTTTATTTTGTCGTCTTTTTTAAATCCCTATAACTTTGCACTATTATTAATATTGTTTACATTCCTTTAATAAGTTTGATATTGACAGTAAATGTGTAACTTATTGTTTGTCGTAGGTAAGGGTTTGTATGATATTGTACAATACTATGATAAATAAAATATTATTGACATAATGTTTATCTACTATCTATGCAGATGGAATAGTGTTTTTGTTAATATTATGGATGTACATAATGATTAAATTTTTATGTGTAATTTATATTTAAAATCTGGGTTCGGTCATTTCTTGTTTTAATAATAATATAAACGAAACAATACAGGCATATCAATTCGCTAAGTTTATTGTACTTCAAAATTTATACTGATACTGTTCTTAAAATTCATCATGTTATTTTTAAAAGAGCATTTTAATTTTTACTCAATACTTATGTACAATTTATCCTTACACGTGAGTGTAACCAAGCAAAAGATTAAAAATTACAGATTAAAAATTTGATTCTTAGAAGTTTTAATTCAATGCAGCTACCTGCTTTTTAAGTTTTATATAGTGAAGTATTAACATTCATAGTGTTTTTTTCTTCCCAATGCAGTAAATATTGTTTCATACATTTAATTAATTGTACGTTTTATTTGTTCCATCAAAGAAATGTTAATTGATTATAAAAACCATTTTCTGTAAGGAAAGAAAGTATTGTATTGTATAGTTTAATTTATTTGCTGTTAAATAAAATAAAATCACTGTTTTTATTATTCCGTAAAGCAATAGAGTGTAACATTTGTAGAAGAGAATGAATTGAATTTTGAAAACAGAAGAAATACAGTGTTTTTGTATTGTCAATATTATTACTACACATCTAACTGACCTCCTATAGGATACTAACCATTTTATATTACAGAATTTTTCGACAGAAAATAAAAATGCAAATAATTTGTCTTCCAACTACATTTATCGATTCAAAAATTAGTCAAAATCGAAGTGACGCAGGAAAAAATGAAAGTTGTTACTTTAACAGAGCTCTGAATTATAGAAAATTAAACAAAACGTTGTATTACTCATTCTTCATAACTGATGGCAAATTGTTGCATCAGTAGATATCAGCATTGTTATCATTTCTCCTAGTGTTTACCGAAAACCCACGTAGATAACGTACTTTAGCGCAGTGTGATTATATCCATACCTTAGTACAGAATCTTACCTGTGAATCATTTGAGAAGAAAATCTGTGCCGAAACATAAATACATTATCCATGTTTTTTTTCCATACTATGATATGTATATTCCATACCATTGTATGAACACAAAGGGATCCTAGAAATAGGATATTTTCATAAGCGGAAGTATCGACAATATGTCGGATCAACCTATTTAATAACAATAAGTACAGTTCAAGAAATCATCAAAGCAATGGTATTTTCAAAGCAAAGTAATTTTGAAAACGTACTATATTGTTGTTCTTCGGACTTCGCTGAAGCAACTAGTGTCATTTTTCTATTAAACGCAACTTTGTA